GTTGGGGCCAAGATATACCTATCTGGTGCCAAAGCTGCCATCGTCGAGGCGTCTTGCAGTCAACAAGTGGACGTGGATTACCTTGGAAATGACATTGCCAGTTCCCAGCGGGCATCCAGTGACAGTTGTTGCGAGGATTGCAAGGGAACGAGTGGCTGCCTAGCGTACTCGTGGACCGACTACAACGGCGGCACGTGCTGGCTCAAGTCTGCTACGGGCTCGCCGATTCCCCGAGTAGGAGTGGTCTCAGGCGTACTCTTCTAAGCTTGCGTTCGATTGCGATTTTGCCCAAATATGGATAATTATTCCATGCATGTGATAAATCTCAAACACTTCTGTTGCACGGCGAACAATCACATAGGATCTTACAGACTGTACTGTGGACGACGCTGTGATCAGGATATTACTGCTCGTACTGTATTAGCCTGCTTTAAGGTCGAAAATGATCGAACTGGATGAGCTCCTCAAGGCTGCAACATCACAGATGTATAATGATTGTCAAATCCAGTTGGAAGCTAGATTCGCTAGCAGAATTGGCTGAAAACCACAATACTAGTCATCACGCGGCGGCAGGTTCCCCCTTGTCGCCTTTTGACTACAGTGTAGGTAGCTGTATTTCAGGCGAAATGCTAGTTCGTACTTGACTGGGTGGGGTGGACAGCCATATTAGGTTTCCGTAACGTTGCGTTTTACAAGTGAGGTATTGGTATACGATACATATCTGCACAGGCCAGTGCGATTTGTTCGACTGGAAACACTCGAAAAGGCAAAATAATGCTGGTTAAAAGCACTTGGCTGTTGGTATACGACGTGAACGCTCAGGCTCCTAGTATACTATATATGTAGTAGTACTATACCCGATCAATTCGTAGCCATCGTTAATACAGAACGACTGCACTCCTGAACCCCTAAACGTGGGGATAAATATGGCACACATACTACGTTTTGATGAGGGCTTTTTGATTTGTTGTTTGAATTCCCCTTGTGAACCGATCCGCACGACGTACTCTTCATCGTCGGCTCGTACAACTTGTACAGATACACTTGAATCAACCCAAGGCGAGACCCAAGAGGTTCCCAATCCATTCCGCTGGTTTGGCTAGCATTCGACGCTGTCATACCCAGTAGCAACTTGAACCGACTTGGCTTTGAAATTTACCGGTAGTGGGAGGTTTATGTTGCTTTAGTCCGTTGAAACGACAACGCGAATGTCATTGTTGTGACTCACAATTGGCATTTTGTTGGGACATTTGAGAATCGTGAAGCAGTTTCACAATCCGTAACGGCCTTTTGATTTACGTTTCTGGATTCATTTATTCGAAATGATATAAATGGTTGAGTAATCGAATCAGTACGGATAATATCCTTGGATCAATACGGATAATAAATTGATATGAAGTGGTGCTGCACCCTTCCCCATGTCCAGCATAAGTGAACCAATGTGCTGTACTTTGAGCTCGAAGTCGCCACGGGGTACTTTACAGTTAGGTCGCCGAGGGAAAAATTCCCCGTCCGATTGGACGCCACAGTACAGTGCCTGCCTCAATAGTATCAAGACGACATACAACTACAATGTAAGAGCCCCGAGCCTCCACAACCCCGAAACCCCGCAATTCTTGCTTTAGCCAGAGTAATGCGGTCCAGTGTGTTAACGTCCATTTTGTTGTTTACTAGTATTTTGAATTCGCTATAAACTTGCAAAATTCGCGTGGTTTGTCTAGTCAAAATTGAATCACGCTGGAGTTCTGATTGGTTGAATATACTTGTCCTTTCTGTAAGAGCCAATCAAGTCCACTCATAAATGGATTAGCCAATAGCGTCGATTCGTGATTCGATTCGGCGGCGAGATTCGATTCGACAGGGTCTGGAAATTCGTATCGAATCCACAATATTGTCCTTTTCCCCAAAATTTGGACTTTTGTGCTGATTCGCTAAATCTATTGATCGATACATACTCTTTATGACATGGAAGGACAGTTATCCGGAATCCGGTTAAAATTTGTTATACGGATTTAACCGGTTGATGTTGTCCTGATCATGCAGCCCCCCCCACACACAAGGGCTGCTGACAAAAGTTTTAGGCACCCCAAAGGCTCTTACGCTGGTCTATCATTGAACGGCATCGCACGTGTAGGGCTTTGCGCCACAAAAACCTGCGGTCGGTTTTGGAGGTCTGCCTTTAATGTGACGCATTCGACATTGAGGCAATGTGAACAATGGATGTCGGATGTATTTGAATTTTGAGCTGTACCGCATGCACTTTTTCGGCAAGGACATGGTGTGACGCATTGCGACTGGCAGTTGTCACTTGGTAGGCAGATTCCGTTGAAGTCATTATGGAAAGTCACTGTATTGCAAGGACGTCCCTGGAAATGAGACTAA